AGTCTTGCATTTCGTTACGTTTTGCATTATGAACAAAATTTTCTTATATTTTTAGGCCCTTAACACAAAAATTCTATAAACACTAATTCTTCATATAATACGATCAGTTTTTACGACATTTTAATGATAATTGTTTCTCTAACACGAGATTCAGCAAATATACAAATTTCCTCAAAATCAAATAACTTTCACGTAAACAAACCATTTTAAAACTAAATTTTTAATTTTGCAAATTCTAAAAGAGTTTGTTAGAATAATTTTTTCTTATGCAAAACCTAAAATAAACATTAATTTTAAAAAAAAACAACTCCACTTTGTGTGTACAATTAAAAAGATTTCAAAACTATTAATTCGTATTTTATTTTTTATGCACCTTAACACGAGTTCTCCCGAACACGAACTAATTTTATTGCAAAATGGTTAAGTTAGAATACAAAACATGGTTTAGTATTGCCGACAAATCAAACATTTCATTTTTTCTTACTTATATCAAATCATAAGAAATAATATTAAGTATATAGAAGAATTGTTCTAATTGAAAATTCTAAACAATTTTGCTATAATTTCATCGACATCAATAACACTTTCATCAATACACATAAATGGTGTAGTAAAATTTACGGTTATAATTTGATTCAAAATTTCACAAATAAATGTCTACGTCATTTGGAAAACCCAAAATGTAATTACATAGCTCAGTAATATTTTTTTTTCATATTACTATGGTATATTCACCTTTTCCTCTATTTTTCTTAAAATATATTTATAAATACAACTTCGTTTACAATAGTTTTTGTAAACACAAAGTAATAAAGTACAATTATCACGCAAATAGGACGTAAGGAAACAATAAAATAAAAAATTGTTTTATTTATCGACCGCATTGCATTCAATAAGGGAGGTTATGTGATGGCACCAAATTTCGAATGTCGAGTTCTAATTGGGAATGCATATTTCATAAACTATTTTTAGCGATGCCAGTGAGTCGATATGTCTACCTGTCTGTCTGCCTGTTCGTGAATTCGGTCTTGAGAACTTGACTTAGTAGTGTCCTCAAAATTAAAAGCTTAATAATGTCCTTACAATTGTAAAGAGGTGTTTAAAACGCATTTTCATAATCTTTTGCTCTTCACTTTCACTAAACTAAACAATATGAATTGCAGTTGATTATGTGCTGACCACATCGAATATATTTATTCTAAAAATTAGTTAAAAGAACAAATAAACAACATTAATATATTAAAATTCTTATTAGAAAAAGAGTTCGTGACCCTTTTTGGAAAATTTAATAAAAAATTATCATTTTAATCAAAATATTTTTATTATACATTGTTATTTTTTTTCGTCATGGCAATTTTTGGCCTCATAATTGTAATACTTTCAAATTTATTTAGTATTAAGAAAATCTTAACAAATACGGCCTAAAAATGCTAAAATTTGTAATCGACTCTTTTATGTTCCTTCATATTTTATGACTTATATGAAGAAATATGAGGAAAATGACTTGAAAGTAATGAGGAAAATGCTCGAACCGCTTTTACACTGAATAAGCTTTAATTTCAGTTCATTATGCTACTGGCAAATTAATTTTTATACCCTGCACTTCGTGAAGGGTATATTAACTTTGGTATGGAGTTTGTAACTACTTGAAGGAGTCACCTGCGGTATTGACATATATATATATCCTTGCTCAGCGTAAAATTCTACGTTGATTTAGACATGTCCGTCCGTCCGTCCGATCGCACGATAACTCAAAAACGAATAATGCAATCGACACCAAACTTTCACAAGTTGCTTCTTTTGTGCCAAGGACGAACCCTATTGTTATTGGACCAATTCGGACAACGGGTTCGGGTAGCTGCCATACAACTCAAAGAGTTTATTTTAATTATTTCAAAAACTAATTAAAAGGTACAAATGTAAAATTTTGTATACATGTGTCCAATTATATTCTACATATGCTCTAAAAATTCTAATGAGATAGCTGCACCGGTTCGGGTGGCTGCCATACAACTCCAAAAGCAAATTTTTTATAATCGGCAAAATAACGAAGTTAGATTCATGAAACTTGGCAGTTGTGTGTCCAATTATAGATCAGATATACCTGCGAAGTTTTAGTGGAATTGCTTGACAGGTTCGGGTACCTGCCATACAACTCCAAAAGCTAATTTTAAATATTTGGAAAAATAATAAAGTCAAATTCATGAAACTTGGCAGTGGTGTGTCCAATTATAGGTCAAAGATATTTCTGAAGTTTTGGTGAAATTGCTTGACAGGTTCGAGTGGCTCCCATACAAGTCCAAAAGCTTATTTTAAATATTTGGAAAAGTAATAAAGTTAGATTCATGAAACTTGGCAGTTGTGTGTTCAGTTATAGGTCAGACATATCCGTGAAGTTTCTATAGAATGGTTTCACAGGTTTGAGTAATTGCTATACAACAATGAAAGGTGCAGGGTATAATTCAATCGGTTCATACCGACTGAAACGTTTTTACTTGTTTAATTTTTTGTTTGTTCAGTTTGTTCTTTAAGATTTTAAGTATTGAACTTTTTTATTCAGTAAAATAATTAAATTAATTTTCTTTTAAATTAATCAATTTTTTTTTTTATATTAAGATAAAAAGAAATTGAGTTTATTTTAAAAGGCAAAATGATTTTATGGTTATCTTAACTAAAATAATATTTGTAGAAGAAAAATTTTTGCAAAAATAAATGAAAAATAAATTTTTGGAATTATTTTTATAATGCCCATGGGAAAATTTAATATAATTTTTTTTATATAAAAAACACCTTGAGGTGTATTTATATTATATGGCAAGTATTTTATTTTTATTTGGCAAAAATTAAGAAATATGAAAAAATTGAAAATTGATACTGAATCTTAAGCTGCTTAAGTAGGTCTTAAGTAGGACTACACTAATACCAACAGCTATTATTTAAAAATTTATTACTCTGGACATCACAAGTTGCAATCACTACTTGTCGTCCCGAATAAAAATTACGTACATATTTGTATTTTATAAAAAATTCGGCGAGCAAATTTTAAAAATTCAAAATTATGTCCGATATCTGGGGACTAGTTTTCTTTTCGAAAACAAAAAAAACTTTTTTCAAAGCAAATTAAAACTTTTATTTTGACAATTCTTTATTCTATACTAGTGTAGTATGTGAGTGTTTATTTTAAATTTCATGAAGCAAAAAGAAAATTCCAAACCAATACAATGGAAATTATAAGAGATATTGGAGATTATGAGATTATGAGAGATTTTTGATCAGAGGACTTGTTAGTAAGACAAAATACCACAGCGTATATAGCGCTTTAAATAAAATAAATCACTAAACTCCGAACGTTATTTATACCAACGGTTTAAGCATTATTCACCTAACCTTAGGAGCACAAAATTTTGTTACACTTAATCTTCATAAACAATATTCTCCCCGGTATCACGATTTATTTTAAAAAAATATTACTCTTTATAACAAAATATTTTAAAAATCCTGAATACAAAAGTTTTCCATTCTTATGTAAGTATGTGAATACATAAAAAAATATAAAAAATATTATATAAGACGCTTAAAGGATATTGAGTAAATAATTTTGTAAAAATATCAAAAGAAGAAAAATTAAAAATATAAATAAATATTAAAATTTTTTTGGTTGGTCTTGATCTTACGCACATAATATCGTATTATTATTTTAAGCATATTCGAAAAAAAATTTTTAAAAAATATTTCTACATAGCTTTATTTTGTCCGTTTGCTCGTTACCCTTTATAAGAGGTGGAGGTAAAAGACTTAAATTTCAAAAGGGAATGGATCAAATTTAAAAAAAAAAATATTTCTTCGGTACAAAACTTTCCCCCCTTTCGTGTTTTGCTTCTCAAATTTATTAAAATTACTTACTTAATTAACCGGTTTCATTTGACTTTTGCACAAATTGTTTTTTATTCCCGTACGGACAGACATATGTTCGAAGGGTATAATAAATTTGCCTAACCGTTTGCAACGCTAAGAAATAATGGTCTGAGATATATAGACACAAGTGTATGTTATTGATCAGCGTCGAATTCTGAATCGAGTTAACCATATCTGTTCGTCTGTTCGTCCGTCCCAATGATATCTCAAAAACCAATTAAGGTAAGCACATCAAATTTTTACAAATGATTTATAATAGTAAATGTCTTAACCCTATTTAAATTCAATGTCATGAAAGCAGCGGTCCGGATGGCTACCATACAATTTCAAAAGTTATTTGGATATATCTCGGAAATAACATAGAATCTACAGTATTGAAATTTCATACAATCAAATACTTTATTAGGACTCTTATATTTGATAAAACTAATTGAAATTTCTTGACTTATTGTGATGGCTGCCATACAATTTCGAAAATCATTTGGTTATATATATTATGGAAACTATGGCATAAACGAGTAAATATGCCCAGAGTACTTATGGAACAGTGTGACAATCAACACATAGCACTTAAAATCAATTATTCGTACGGGTACCATACAATTGAAACGATCAACTCTATACCTATTCTCGTTTTTCTCTAAAAGTACGCCAACAAAATTACGAAAACAAAATGTGCTAGTTTACAAACCATTGTTTCGATCGACTTTATTTTTTTTTTTTTTTTCAGAATATAAAAATGATTAAAGTAAATTTTAATATAAAGTACGTTGTCAAAAGGATAAAATGATACTGGAAATAATTTTATTTTTCAATTTTGTATATACATACTTAATATTTCTTATCAAGGGACACGTACACGTGAACGGTTATTATTAAAAAAAAAACTTTCATTAATCTTGAAAATTAAATCGAAAAACAATTTTAATCTTATTAGGGAACAAAATATATTCAATTTCTGTATTTTAAAATCAAAGAGGTGTACGTCTTTAATTTTGTGAAACATTTTAAGTATTCTACCACTTTTACGATCATTTGAGTAATTGAGGTGCAATTTAAAGAAAATAAAATTATATATCACTTACCAGTCAGCCCCTTTTTCTAAAAAAATGGCTCTGCAGATCCAAAAACCACAAAAAAATAATTGAATTAAAAAATTCAATTGAACCTGAAAAGAAAATGAAATTTTTCTTAATTAATTCAGTAAATCAAAATATCTTACAAAATATATGTACATTTGTAGATCATTTAATCCAAAATGGTTACTGATTTTCATAACTAAAGAACCCAAAACTCATGAATTGTACACTAATTTTTTAATTATCTTGCATACATATAACAAAATTAGAATTCCTATAACACACAATTAAATTGATTTTTCGACAATGTTTCGATAATTTTTAATAGAAAAAAATTCTAGAAATAAATTTTTTATGTTCATCGATTTTTTCCTAATTGACTTTATTTAAAATTAAAATATGACAGAAATTTCAATACAAAATTTCTAAAAAAAAAATTTAAGGTCACAAAATAAAACAATAAAATATTTTTTCACAGGATTTTAAACACAAAGAATTAACAAGGATTTCTATAATTTTTTCAAATTCAATGAAAAAATTTTACGAATATTCCACGTTAAGTATATTGAGTATAGTTGATATTATTGATGATTTTCTGAATCATTTGTTAAATAATTTTAAAATTTCTCAAATTGAGCAGCAGTCGGCTTTAAGCAGCCTCTAAACTTTATTTTATTTTTACATAAATTCTGAAGCGTAAAATTTACAGACCATTGTGTTTGCATTAACGAAATCGTTCCACAATTTTAAAATTTTAATTACCAAAATCTCAAATTGACATATGAACTTCATATTTGACAATTGATTGATGTACCCTACCAATTTGTAACATTGTATTTGAAAGGTTTATGAAAAATATCGAAATTTTTTTCTAGGCTCTCTTAGCTTATTCTGTGTGTTAAAAATTTCTGTTAAACAATATGGAATTGAATGTTTCGTCAAAATTTCTGCATAAATATGTTAATATGGAAGGTGATAATTTAATTTTTACATTATATGGAAGTCACCGTAAATCGTATTAGTAATTTAAAAATGTCGTATATCATTTGAAATATTTTCTAATATAAAATAATAAAAATTTTTGAATTACATTTTAAGTATGTGTTTAAAATTTTCCAAGTCCCATTGGTCCTAACATATGTTATTGAATTTAATATTATAAAAAAAAATAAAAATTTATTATTTTGTATTTTACGATTTATAAATATTTCAGAACTGAATTAATAACACTTGTTTAAATACAAAAATAGTACACGATTTTTTATATGACGGCATTATAATTTTATTCTTCTGGTATTTATTCTCTCTAGAGAGTATAAAAATAACATTTTAAATAAAATTTATAAGTAGAACAGTTATTTTAGGAATATATGAACTGTTTACCAAGTTATGAATAAAAAAAACAATATATAATTGTATGTACATAATATATTTAAAGAAAAAAAAAAGTAGATCACTTCAAAAAAAATTTTTTTGAAATTGCGTTTTTAAGTTTTTTTAATGACTTTAAAAATTAGAAGTGTTTTTGTTTTTAATTTCGATCTCTTTGCCAGAATAATATTAGTTTTTGTTCCTCATATACATATAAAGAAGCAAATGCATTCAAAATAAATTCAAAATATTCCGATATGAGACTCGTCCGATAGAAGGAATACTGAAGTTAAAATCTCGACTCTATCTGGAGAAGGATGAGACTATACCACGAATTTTCGAAGAGAGTTCTCGGTTAACAAGAAACTGAACTGACTCTGCTTAAATCCTATATTGTATCCCGGAAAATAAATTCGTTGTTGAGTTGAGAAGTTAAGAGACGAATTCATTTTAGACTCAGTCACCTCCTTTTTAATATAACGAAGGCGGGCATTAAAAACTACGCAAGACTCTTCTGTCCCGATGTCAAACAAAAAAGAAATAAATATTTTATAAAAATTTATAAAAAAAATTCTAAAAAAAACTTAGAATTAAGGTAAAAATAAAAATTATCTATACCTCACTTTAACCTAAAAAGTCGTTGTTGTTGACGTTAAAATTATCATTAAATAAAAGAATCTAATGTGTACTTGCATTTACGTCACTATATACGGCGGTATCATCCCATATACATATATATATTTATTATAGCAACTTTATTGGTCAAAGATCAATGGTTATCAAATAAATACACGCTTCAGTGTATACACCACAATATGAATTTATTACAATGTTGTTTAATTTATAAAATATATAAAAATTATTATTTGTACTTCTGGGATTTATGAGTGTAAAACAAAAAAAAAACTTTTACTAAATTAGTTATTTATAATTTATGGTATTATAAAAATGCAGGTATAGGCAGATTTTTTCACATGTGTATGTATATATTGCTTTAAATAAATTCTAGCTAAAGTGGTGGCTGCTTTGCAATTTGCAGTAAATATTCGAATTTTTATTGTAAATTTTAATCAAATTTGAGGTACATACATTGAATTGTTATTGTAAATTTAAGTTAGATTCAAGGAGCAGATGTTCGACTACATATATTCGATTTCAATTATAAAAAAATTGTTAAAGTTTTTGTGTTGATTTCCTGTATGATTTATTTTAAGACTCTAAGAAGAAGTATGCACAAGTATAATCAATAGATTTCAGTTCTACGAGTACTAAACCTCCAATTAAATACAAAGCAGAAATTAATAAACGTTCGATAACGACAAAATCAATTGAATAACTAAAATAAAATTGCAATATGATTAAGTATTAAATGATAACCTGCAAAATTAATCCACCCATTTAAAATAAGTTCAAAAATGTCACCTGTATATAATCTAAGGACATATGTACTAAATATTGTTCGATAATAATATTATTTACAAAATATTTTCATATAAGTGTAGGTATTTATAATTTTATTTAATTAACCACGATTAAATTCAATTTTGTTTTGATATTTAAAAAAGAAAAGCGCTTTTTATCATAAAAGCTATAATTAACGTTTTTCAAGAACATTTAAAAACAAATTTAAAATATGTCCTAATTACTTTCATTTTGTCCGTTTGTCTGTGATTTTTCTATAGAAGGCGAAGTATAAGGACAATGTTTACCGTTCTTAAGGCGTTCTGTAATACACAACATGTTAGGAGAATACTATATGCATAGTTTTTTTTGCACGAACCTTTAAGATTCAATTGAGAAGCAGAACGGTTAGGTGTCTGGAGCTTAGTAGGCAAAATGTCCATTCAGTAATTGGTATTCTTACAGTGTTCATGGCGTCGACTTAACTACCATATAGGTATATAAGTTAGTTCGTACTACGGAGCAGATTTCAGATTTGTACAGATTCTGTAAATGTCTGCATATATATAATTCTCTATAATTATTCAGTAATACAAAGCAAATAATGTCTGTATTTACATGGAAGTTCTTTATTGATAATTCGGAATTGTGAAGTTTAGGCCTTGCGGAGATTCTGTTATACTTCGGAATTGTGAAATTTTAACCTTACAGAGGTTCTGTTATTTCTTGATCGCGAAAGGTCTAGTAGAGATAATATGCAACCGAAATAATAAATCTTTTCGGCTACATTTATTTGATCTATTGATTGACCCTCATCCCGTCGGTCTTCCTAATCTAATCTATTCTGAGCGGAATGTGCTACCTTGCAAATCACTAATTCGATTCGTATTAATTTTCAATAATTTTTATCATTTATAATTATGAAGTGTTTTAAATCAAAATTTTGCAAAATTTATTGTTTTATTGCAATTGTATTTGTTTTATTTCTCTGTCTAATCTTAATTATTTTGAAAATCAAAATTAATATTTTATTAAAACAGATAAAAGGCAATAAATTACTTAGTTTGTAATTATAAGAGATTAATAACCAGATTTTTATTTGATTTTACTATTTAATAATAATTATAGGTATATGGTATTAAAAGATTTCAAGTGCTTTATAATGTGAATTTGCGTTTTGAAATATGATTATTTTTTTTTTTTGTAAATAAAGTCTTATTGTATGTGGTTATTAATTATTGCTATTGTGAATATGAAATGAAAAATTTATAGAAGAATGTGAAATGAAATATTTTTATAGAACAATAATTATTATTTGCATGTTATTTGTTTAATAACGCTGAATTAGATTTATTCATACTAGACGCGTCGCACATAAAAATGTGTGAGGTAACAGATTTGGTATTCTACTAGACGTGCATCTCACTATTTATCACAAAAAGCATTTATAATGTTATTCTTTTGAAAATTGTCACATTTTCTTGTCGCCTATATTTTGTTGTGTTCTAACTTTTTAACATCAAAAAATTTCGAGTCTCGCTTCTCTGTTACATCACATTTCGCGTCTAGTAGAATATCAAAAAAAAATGTGAGTTACAAATGTAACGCGTCTATAGTAGAATTACACTATTTATTTATTAATATTTTAATAAGATGCAAAAACAAAAATTTGGAGAAATCGAACAAAAAAATAAACAGTAAACGAAACTATAAAGTAAGTACATTGACCCATTTATTTTGTTAATACAAAAAAAACAAATTAGATTTTAAAAACAATATACTAGTGAAATCAAAAAAATTATTTGTAAATTTTCGTAACACAAATACAATTAATATGATAAGTATGTTGCCAATTTTAATTTTAGATCATAGAATTTGCAATTGTATTGACGATGTATTTTAAAAGAAAATGTTACTAAACAAAAAACAAAATTATTTTAATAAGAAAAAATATTCGAATTTAGAAACTTGCGTTAAATTAAGTATAATAGATAATCTGATTGTAAAATGTTCTAGAAAACTTTAATATATTCTCTTAGTTTGACTCTGTTTTACCGTCATCGGTTAAATTCGCGTCCATAATACAACATCATTTTGAATAGTTCCATATATACATTTGTGTATGTGCAATCTATGTATATGAATTTTGACATTTCGTCACGGAAAATCACAATTGTTTTGTTTTCATCTTTAATAAGAATTTCATCTAACGGGTGTTCATTTTATAGAGATCTGACTGTATTTGCAAAAAAAAATAAATATTATTTTTAATTTAATTTATATAATAACAAATATTGCTCAGTTATTTGATACTGGA